TTAGGTTAATTCTTAAGTCCTACCACCACAGGAATCTGCGGGAGCGCTGTCTCTTTAAATATCCAAAAACAGTCAAGCTGCTGTTTAATCCTACAAAATTCTGCCCAGGTTCTTGTCTCTCATTCAACCCCTTGTCCAAGCTAGAAACTATCCTTGACTCCGCTTTCCCTCTCACTGTCCAAATTTAAGTGCTATAGTTCTATGAATTGTATTTCCTGAACACAGGAATTGACTGAATACCCACTGAGATGTTTCAACAAATGAATGTAATGCTGGAAGTCCTCACTCACCTATGCTAAGAAATTTGGAAGACAGCTACCTGTCCAACTGACTGGAGGATATCCGTATTTGTGCCCATTCCAAAGATGGTTGATTCAAAAGAATGCAGAAATAACTGAACAATATCATTCATATCACATGCAAGTAAAATTTTGCTGAATATAATTCAGAAATAGTTGTAGCACTACATAGACAGGGAACTGCCAGAAATTCAAGCTGGATTCAGAAGAGGATATGGAATGAGGAATATCATTGCTGATGTCAGATAGATCTTGTCTGAAAGCAGAGAATACAAGAAAGATGTTTACCTGTGTTTTAGTGACCATGCAAAGAAATTTGACTGCGTAACAAATTATGGATAAAGTTGCAAATAATGGGAATTCCAGAACATTCTGTTTTACTCATGAGGAACCTGTACATAGACCAAGAGGCAGTAGTTTGAACAGAAGAAGGGGATACTGCATGGTTTAAAATCAGGAGAGGTGTGTGTTGGCATTGTATCCTTTCACCATACTTATTCAATCTGTATGCTGAGCCTATAATCTGAGAAACCAGACTATATAAAGAATAAAGTAGCATCAGGATTGGAGGAAGACTCATTAACAACCTCTGATATGCAGATGACACAACCTTGCTTGCTGAAATTGAAGAGGACTTGATGTACTTATTGATGAAGATCAAAAATCACTACCTTCAGAATAGATTACACTTCAACAAACAAAACAAAAATCCTTACAATTGGACCAAAAAGCAACATCAGGATAAATGGAAAAAAAGCTGAAGTTGTCAAGGATTTCATTTTACTTGGATCCACAATAAACACCCATGGAAACAGCAGTCAAGAAATCAAATGATGCCTTGCATTGGGAAAATCTGCTGCAAAAAGAACTCTTTAAAGTACTAAAGAGCAAAGATGTCACTTTGAAGACTACGATGAGTATGACCCAGGCACTGCATTTTCAGTCACCTCATAGGAAAGTGAAAGCTGAACAACGAATAAGGAAGACTGAAGAAAAAGTGATGCCTTTGAATTATGGTGCTGGCGAAGAATACTGAATATACTATTGACTTCTGGAAGAAAGAGAAAATCTGTCTTGGATGAAGTACAGGCAGAATGCGTCTAGAAGCAAGGATGGTGAGATTTCTCTGGAGAAGTACATCATGCTTGGTAAAGCAGAGGGTTGGTGAAAAAAAATTAAGATCCTCAATGAGATGGATTGACATAGTAGCTGCAATAACGGGCTCAAAAATAGTTACAACTGTGAGAAAGATGCAAGACCTGGCAGCATTTCACTCTTTTGTACATAGGGTTGCTATGAGTCAGAACTGACTCCATGGCACCTAACAATAACAACCACATGCAGTCCCCAGATTATGAATGTGCAGTTTGCACACAACCCCAGTAAAGTCTATTATATTAAAATTTCAACCTACATACAATGGTTCATAATAACAAACAGGTACTACTATAATACATCAAAACATTATTATTGTTATTATTCTATTATTATGTTAAAGATGTTTTCAGTGTATCTGGAAGTGTTTCTTTAATGCTTTCCATCCACAGAAAGGTACCTATATACCACATACCAAGACAAACTGATGTTAGATCCAAACCATACCTGTTCTGACTTACATACAAATTCAACTTAGACAAACTTAGGAGTAGAACTCATTCATCATCCAGGGACTGCTTGTATCTCAAAAACCTGTTCACTTTCTCTATCCTTCCTACTATTTTGTGAGTTTAGACCAACGTCACCTCTCTATGGATTACTATAGCAGCTTTTCTAACATACCTCCCTGACTCCAGTGTCAGGGTATTTTTGATATTATTTTCCCAGCTTAAAACTCACTCACTTCATGGCTCCTAATGATCTCAAGATAAAGTCTAAATACCTCGCAAAACTTATTCTCTGCTTGACTTCTCCAGCCCTGTTTCTTAGCACTCTCTCTTTAGCCACACTACCCTTATTCAGTTATTTGGCTACTCTGAGAACTTCTTCCTCTTCCTGCAGCTTTCTTCATTCTGCTCTTCAACTGGCTAATTCTTATTTATCGTCAGGTCTGTGTAACAATTTCCTTCTATTAGAACGCATTTCTCAAACCCCAAAGCTGAGTTAACTTGCCCTACACATGTTATGTGCTGTCGAGTTGGACCCGACTCATAGTGACCCCTCCTTGGGTTTCTGAGGCAGTATCACTACGGAAGTAGATTGCCCCATCTTCCTTCCGAGGAGTGGCTTGTGGGTTTGAACCGCCAGCCTTCTGGTTAGCAGTCAAGTGCCTTAGCCACTATGCTACCAGAGCTCCTACTCCCCCAAAAAAGAGCTTACAACAAAACCAGTTGCTCCTGAGTAGACTCTGACACAGGACAAGCCCATGTGTACCACAGGAGATCTATGCTCCGTAGGCCTCCCAATGGCTGGGATCATTCAGGACCAGAAATCTCAGGCTTTCTTCCAAGGTGCTTTCTGGTTGCTAGCTGAGCTTTTGCTCACCCCAGGGACCTGATAATTATCCTACCATAGCACTTACCATACCATCTCTTTACTATTTACCCTACTGGATGCCCTGTTGGTAGTGTTACATCTGTCTTGTTTACTGTGGTCTCTCCAGTACCTTGCACAGGTGATGTTCCAAAGTATTTGTAGGAGAAGCACAATTGCTCCTCACTTATTAACATGGTTAGGTTCCAAAGACCAGGTCATAACGCAAAAATGGAGGATAACCACATCATATCACAAAATGGAGGATGATTACATGACTGCCGAATTACATCATTACATATCTGCGAAACCACTGAGAATCATGGCTCAGCCAAGCTGACACATTATCTTAACCATCAAAGCCAATGTTAACCTTCACTAAGCATGCTGGCGTTCATTACTGCCAGATGTACATCATTAAGGAGCAAAAAAGTTGGATAGTAGATTTTTTACTATTGTCCTAAATGGGAAATGTCAGATAAAGAAAAAGTCAATAAATGAGGAATAGATGCATCATCAAAAATGTTTCTTAATCTGATTTATTATAGGAAAAATAAAGACATATGAATGAGACAAGAATAATATACAGTAATACTATATACCCAATATTAAAAACATTTAGATGTGAATACTGTATTACCACTCATATATACTTTAGCAACTGCTAACACTGTCTAGGCCTACTGATTAGGACTATTTACATATGACCTTTGTTTTCAATTCTATAAAAAACTTGTAACCCTGGGGCTGACTGAGAGTTAGTTTAGTAACAATGTATTACTTTGACTCACAGAATCCTTTTTGCTAATATATCTCACTATAAATTTAAAATTCAAATGTCATCTGTGTTAATATACTCATACTTTATGGAATCTCAAACTCCAAATTAAGTAATTGCAAGCTATGTATTCCAAAATTTGGAAGTAGTAGTTGCCTCATGAGTAGAAGGAGAAAAGGAAACAGACTGTCCTGCTTCTCTCCATTTTGATTTAAACAACTTTCCAAAACTACCATTAATGACTAATTGTCATTTTAGGTATTTATACACACACATAATCATGTGTATCCAATTAGGACAGGTACACACATACTAATATACATCAATAAACATAATGCTTACTGTAGAGCACAATATTATTGTTAAAAGAGGCTTTTCCAAACTGATCACGGTCTCTACTTTCAGAATTAAATAAACAACAACAACAAAAAGATCACCATGTTGTTTCCCACAAGTTGCAATGGAAAGAATACCAATCCTTGCTCCCTGCTTGCCCACTACTGTGCTCTCAAAGAAGTGATTCTGTGTGGAGCTCAGTGTTTCAGTCAAGGAAGGTAAGATCCTCTAGAGTACCAAAGCACCAGTGCGCTGAGAGAAGCCCAGCGGAAGTCAGTGCAGTGGGAGGAGGACAGATGTGATGGCCAGACAGACCTGAGTTCAAATCCTAGGTGAGGTACACAGGAGCTGCAACACCCCAGGCAATTCACTTGACCTTTCTGGGACTCAGTTTCCTATGTGTAAAGTGGTACTGCCCACCACTGAGTAAACACTCAACAAAAGGTATGCTGTAATTACTTGATTTTCTCCACGCTGGATTTACAATATCAGATAAAGGAGACAAAATTTATTCAAAGGTGAGATTTAAAAGTCTACTTATTGATTACTTTAATCATAGATTAAGCTACACAGAAAAGCAGTAAATTGACTATTCTCAGAACAAGAATGAAAAACTCATTCTATTGACAGAAAGAAAGGAGCATATATTAAGAGTGTAACTGAGAAGCTGTACTACTTTTTTTTTTTTTTTTAATGTGGAGTCTCAAGTGTTGTCTAGAGAAAAGAGAACCCAGGAATCTGAACAAAATGTCTCTAATGATTGTTGTCCATGGCTATGAAAAACCAGGACCAAAACAGAGATACTCACAAATTAGTTAGTGAGAATTTTGGTGTAAAGATTAAGGTAGACAATGTAAATGTAAGGTACACTATAAAGGATAAAAACCAAAAACCAAACCCACTGCCATCGAGTTGATTCCAACTCAGAGCAACCCCCATTGGGTTTCCAAGGTGGTAAATCTTTATGGAAATAGATTGCCTCATCTTCCTCCAGCAGAGCAGATGGTGGGTTTGAACCACCAACCTGGTTAGCAGCCAAATATCTTATTGTTATGATGGAATAATAATACCTGATCCCTCCTTGGGTTTCTGAGGTGGTATCACTACGGAAGTAGATTGCCCAATCTTCCTTACAAGGAGAGGCTGGTGGGTTTGAACCGCCAGCCTTCAGTTAGTAGTCAAATGCCTTAGGCACTACGCCACCAGAGCTCCCAATAATTGTTAAATGCTGTATCCTTTATACAGAGTTCTGGCAGTGCACTGGGTAAGTTATTAGGCTGCTTACCAGTAGTTCAAACTTACCAACTGCTTCATAGGAGGAAGATGAGGCAATCTACTTCCATAAAGATTTACCGCCTTGGAAACCCAACGGGGGTTGCAATGAGCCAGCACTGACTCCATCATGGTGAGGTTTGGGCATTATTCACGGAAACAGATACACCTACAAAACACTAGTGGAGGTTTTATAATCAATTAAGGGATCAAATTCATGTGTAAATTTTAAGGCAAATTTATATGTTAAAGCAAAGGAATATGAACATAGAACATCTAACTTGGGGATTTGTTGTACAACAATAGGAAACTCTGGAGTGCATTAGATATATCAGACACTGTTTTATGGTCACCAATGTGTTCTGTACCCCTGTGGTTGAAGACAAGATGATCTCACATGGAGGTGGAGGAAGCACCTTCCCTCCCTGCCATTTGGTTTAAAACCTTGAATTTGATACCTTGAATCGGTCCTTGAAGTGCTGTCTGCAAAAATCCCCGTGTTTTAGAAACACTAGCAATACAATGGTGATGCATGAGATTTTAAATCAATCAAAAGCATTTCTGTCTGAGATAGCTTTCAAGCAATTCTACTGAGAGCCAAAGGCCCACAAATATGTTAACCAATCATGAGACTAGACAGCATTCTCTCTTCTTGCTATGATGTTGTTATGTGCCATCGAGCTGGACCCAATTCATAGCGACACCTCCTTGGGTTTCTGAGGCAGTATCACTACGGAAGTAGATTGCCCAACCTTCCTTCCAAGGAGCGGCTGGTGGGTTTGAACCGCCAGCCTTCTGGTTAGCAGTCAAGTGCCTTAGGCACTATGCTACCAGAGCTCCTACATTTTCTCTCAGGAATTCTAAAATGTAGCAGCTAGTGCAGGGCAGGGCCGGGGAAAGATGATCTGTTGAAGTGTCAGAAGTAATGTCTGGAATTCACCTCTCAAGATTCCAGGAACCAAGAGCTGCTCAATCCAAGCTAATAGCCAATCAACTCTTGCTGATTAAGGTGGATGAGCCATCTGACCTGTGTAATATATATAAAATTCCATCTCTGCTACTCTTCTGCTGTCTATCATAGTGCCATTAGCACTACTTCTCCCTGAAAGCACAAAAGGATGGAAGATGATTAACAGCATGAAAAAAGAAAAAGGAGGGGGCTAAAAATTAATACCTAATTACCTGTGGAATATTTGGTAATGAAATCCTAAACTGCTATTTCCACATCAAAGAGATACCCATATGCAGAGATTTTTGTGCAAAACTTTAATCCAGAATACAAGCAACCAGAGTAGCTATGTATTCTTGACAAACAAAGAATTTTTAACTAGTTAACTCAGACAAACATGTGGCATTATAGTTTGTCAAACATTTTGCCAGCCCCAAAGAAGTCCCTCTTAATGCCAAAATTCTAGTGGCTTCACCATAAGAAAGCTGAGAGTGTAATTCTCCAGATCACAGGTGGGTGGAGAACTCCAACCACAGAAACAAATACACTGAATCCCAGACTTAGAGGCATATTGTAATGGGACTACATTGAAGAAGTATTAAGAAATAAACAGATGATAACAGTATCTCCTCTCCTCAATTCTCTGCAAAGAGCAACCATTTTTAAACCATATGTTTGTACTTTCATACAGGTATACCTCATTTTATTGTGCTTCACAGACATTGTATTTTTTTTTTTTTTAACATAAAGGTTTTTGTGGCAACTCTGCATTGACCAACTCTATCAGCATCATTATTTCAACAGCATGTGTCCACTTCATGTCTCTGTGTCACACTTTGGTAATTCTCACATTTCCAACTTTTCATAATGCTATTTATAGACTTAGGAGCTCTGGTGGCATAGTGCCTAAGGCATGTGACTGCTAACCAGAAGGCTGGTGATTCAAATAGATGTATACACAACATAGTATATACATAACTTTTATAAGTACTGGGAAAACAAAAAATTTGTGACTCACTTTATTGCGATATTCACTTTATTGCAGTGGTATGGAACCAAACCTGCAATGTTTTTGAGGTAAGCCTATATTTCAACTCTCACCCAAACCCTGCCATTGAGTCGATTCCAACTCATTATTATCTAAAGGTAGAGCAGAACTGCTTTACAGGGTTTCCAAGGCTATAAATCTTTCTGGAAGCAAATTGCCTCATCTTTCTCCCACAAAGTGGCTGATGGGTTCAAATCGCTGACCTTTTGGTTAGCAGTCAGATGCTTTAACCATGCTACCAGAGCAACTTGCATTTCAACTCATCATCCAAAAATAAAAAAGGAAGCCAAAGCAAATACTTTGCCATCAAATCAATTACAGCTTACAGCAACCCAACTGGACAAGCACTGGGTAGAACCTGCCCTGGATGCTTTCCAAGCCTGTAATCTTTACAGTAGCAGACTGCCATATCTTTCTCCTGCAGAGCAGCTGGGGCGTTTGAACCACTGATATCTCAGTTAACAGCCGAGTGCTTAACCACTGAGCAAGCAGGGCTCATCAATTCATCATACTATGCTATAAATTGGAATAGAATTCCTTTCCAAATCTATATGATTATAGTTATTTTTTTTTTCAATCCATTTTCAAAACATTTAACATGGCATGGGAAATAAAGAGAAATGTCCTTTGACTTAATTTTTCCTATTTTCCTTACTTAGAATTGCAAGTAGATTTAAAATTCTAAGATTGAAAAATATAGACTCCACATCCATAGTTCATTGCAGTACTATTTACAATAGCAAAAAGATGGAAGAAACCTAGATGTCCATCAACAGAAGAATGGATAAGCAATGGATACACATGATGGAATACTATGCAACACTAAAGAATAACGCAGAATCTACAAAGCACCACATAATGTGGATGAACTTGGAGGACATTATACTGAGTGAAATAAGTCAATCACAGAAAGGGAAATATTGTATTAGTTCATTATTGTAAAAAGTCAAGGGAAGGTTTATATAGGTAAGCAAACTTTCTTTGTTGGTTCCCAGGGGTAGGAGAGGAGAGGAGGGGAGGAAACACAACAAAAACAAACAAACAAACAAATAAATAAATGGGGGTGGATAGAGACTCAGGGAGGATTTTTTTTTTTTTTTCAAAAGAGCAAAACAAAGAAAGAATAAAATATACTTGTGGCCAGCAAGGAGTACCTTGCTTGACCTTTCCTTATTAATCAGTTTTTTTTATTAATTCATGCTTTGAAATTTAACATGAAATAACTTAAAAGTAATATCACAGATTAAAAGCTATTTATATTTTTAAGTTGAATGCTAAGAATTTAAGTATTATGTCTTATATTAAGACAACATTCACCCAAAATGTTCTTCAGAAGTCTTTAAGAGTATAATGTTCCAATAAAAGGAAGCAAACTTTCAGAACATTAGCTGGTATGCTGCTTCCAAATCTACTCCTCCAGGCAGAAACTACAAAGTTAATAAAGAGCAGATTAAAACCAACCAAGAACAAATTAACAATTCAGTTTTACATTTCACTCTTCAATTCTTGTTTTAAATGCACTAGGAACCTCTGCTGTCAACTGCAGTTAAAGCTTCTGCAGCTCTAACAATCAACAGATCTATTACAAAGGGTGTAGATACACCCTAAATGAAAGCACCATGTGCCTAATTATGGAGCTAAATTTACACGTAGCTATCTCTGAATGAAACATTGTCAGCTTTTCAGATCATAAAATATTTCTTTCTATTGTCAGCTTTTCCAATCACAAAATATTTCTTTCTATGCCCTGTAGGTATTTCTTCACATTTCATTCTTCTTCCAGGCTTTCTTTCCTCTCCTCATATCTGAGAGTTTGTGTGACAGCATGCCAGGGAGCCAGGGGTCACAGGATACTGATGAATGAATGAGAAACTGCACCATTCAACACCCTCCCTATGGTTTTCCTAAAGTGAGCATCACTTCTGTGGGATAATGAAACAGAGCAAAAGGATGCTTACTGTCCTGCCGCAGAAGCATGGATTTTGGCATGAACAATTAAGGAGGGATGCAACCATAGAAAATACAAGCTATTGGTCGATACTATAATTCTTTAGCCAAAACTTCCTTTTCTTTCCTGTAAATGACTTCTGGAATCCAATTTACTTACCAATCCCTTTCTTGTTTTC